AACAATTATACCAAGGTGAAACTTTTAACTATGTCGTCTCCACAAAGAGAAAAAGAATTTGCCAATTTTTTGTTCAATCAACCAGATACACATGATTATTCCATGGAAGCAGCTTGTTCAAATCAAGAATGTAGTCTAATTGAATCAACAGTATAATATCAATTTCATCAACAAAATATATGGTTTTCTCGAGAAGTTAAATTTTCGCCTCTAGATGGCAATCATTTCGCCTCGTCTATGTCTGCCTCGAATTCATCATATACGTGAGCCTGATTCCTCCTCTTTGAAATATCAGCTAGATAAATCGAACTTTGGATGATTAGCAATCGGAGATAGTTTTGCATCAGCTGAAGAGAAGTTCAGACTGGAGATCTATACTAGAAGCAGACTAGTTTCCCAGTTTAGTTTATTATATTGATGTGACATTTCAGAAAACTCTCAAAGTAGTACTGAATTCAGTTCATCAAATAGTTTGTCAAATGGAAATACAGTTTCTCTTGGATCAACGAAATATTTCATAGAATCAACAAAATATTTCATTGAATTAACCGAACATTTCATTGAATTCACCAAATATTTCATCGAATCAACCAAATGATTCATTGAGTCAACCGAATATTTCTTTGAATGAACCAAATATTCCATTGAACCAACTAAATATTTGATTGAATCAATATCTTGTTATTTTGAACCAAACAAAATGATCGTTTGAGCCACTTCAACATCTCTTCATGAACTATTCATGAATGTGCTTGATTGAATAACATCCAGAGTTCATGCAAGACATATTCACTCAATTCAAATTTCACATTCGCTCAGAAACAAGATATATATAGATTTAGTCATTTCAAGATTAATTTGCTTCATTCAATTAAATTTTGCTTGATTCAACAATTCCTTTATTTTCCATGCACAAGATTTATTGAGCCTTACGAAAACACGTTGTACAATACAAAGTTGAAAGTTCTTCTAACTTTGTGAAATTTCACATTTCAATTTTTGTTAGGCTTTTGATGGACCATAGCGTCTGAAGCATGTTTCTCAAGTAACTACACGGTGTTCACAAAAAAAGTTGTGGATAAGACATTGTTATAGTTATGGAAGGAACAAGGGCGATATGTAGCAAATAACGTTATTTATATTACTATTTGTGAACCTCCTTGAAAGATCACATTTTGATTCCCAGGAGAGCAGCGTAGGATTTACCGGTACGCTTAGTATAATTATGCTTATCTATTTCACCATAACATTTGTTTGTATCAATGGAATAATGACAAAATAAATCTCTCCATTTGGCGATACTCATCTTATATGTATAATAGCAGCGGAAACTCAAAAAAAAAGTGTTGAAGATCATATACAAGGTCCCGCAGATTTCATAGGGACAGTGTTGCTATGTTATGGAAGGTATGAAAAATTGAAAAAATTTTCGAACTTCCTCAATAAGCCGTTCAGCAAACTGGAAAAAAATCTGCCCTTTCATTTTCCTGGAATATCAACTGAATGAAACCATAATCAAGAATTTTCAGTTTTCGTTTCAAATATTTCAGGAAAAACTGATATTTATTTCAGATTGCAGAACGTTTAACCTTCAGGAAGTGACAATACTGTCCCTAGGTAATCAGCAGGACCCTGTGCAGAGCAGAAATGGATAGACGTGTTTCTCAACTCAAAAATACTCCTTTGAACTTGTTTTTAACACCACCAGTGACCAGTTGCCACGCAGAACTCTTGATATAATCTTGGTCTCTGAGTAATACTGATATTCTTTACTACCTGCTGCTATTCTGGAAGTTTTCTTATGAGTGATATAACTATTGGGGCAAAGGCTGAGAGCGGATTGTTTCACCAAAATAAGACAAGAGTATCAAATATGCATCAATGAAATATTGCTGTGGAACAAGGAACAGGGCGTTGAAGTTGGATTTTTTTCTCGGTTTCTGCTGATAATTTCAATTTTAATGTAATTATTAATGTCGGGAAAAGAGCATTGTTTTGACCGTAGTCCTACGAAATCTGTCACTGAACCGCCGGAATTTTCATCTTTCATTAATCCTGCTACCCTCTTGTTCACCAATGGAATGTCATATATATTTTCTTAGGGATAATCACTAGTATCAAATTTGTGTAAATCAACTTTTATCAACTGTTCGAATACTGATCAATTGTCATCAAAATCGGCACAGATGCATAATTTTATACAGGGAATATTATTTTATATATTATTCTACAGTTTGTTACAGAGGTGGCCACGTAAATGCTTCATGATGATGAAAGCGACTGGTTACTTTTTTTACCGGAACTTTCCAGTGATTTTGAGCAGAAAAAATAGCATAAACATGATCTCTGAATGATATTGGTACTCCTGTTTAAACACGAGATTTTCATCCGTTGTCGATGAAAACGTTATTGAACAGTTCAAAGTCTCGGAAGGGAATTTCTAATATCACTTCATTCATGGAGAGTGTGCTTTGTACTATCAGAGGATTGTTGCTTGTGAAGGACATTTCTCATCATAAATTTTGGTACGAGTTTAGAGTCAATACTTTTTCGATTGAAACACCCTGTATCTTTTTCCACAGCAATATTTCATCAAGGCAATCCGCCCTTAGCCTATGTCCCAATAGTTATGACTCACTCTGCATTGAACAGCCGCTAAATAGAACATGGACATTTTTTGAATTCGTGGCCTACATGACTCATTCGAGATGAAATAATCACTTCATCATCTCGATTGCCATGTCGGAATGTTTCCAAATTCGAGTGGGAGATTTTTGTGAATTGTGTGGTCATGAAAACTCTGATGAAACCATGACTCATACAATGGCCTCCCGAAAATATCTCGAATTTGTTTATTTTCGTGGTAAAAGTATCCCCTCCCACTCTAGCTGGGAATGAATCAAACAACACCTGTATATAGTGCACAATAATGAGCTGCTGAAATTCGCGAATTTTAGTAAAATAAGATTGCAAAAATATATTGGATATATTCCAAAAATCTCAGTCTATAGAATCAGTTCATTCCTAATTGACACCATTAAGTGTTCATTTGTTGCAGGAGATAGTAGTGAACAGTGTTTTGAGTTTTAGATTTGCGAAGAAATTAACGGTGAGTACCTCATTCTCAAACAATTCGATAGCTAATACGGGTCTTCAACAATGATTACCACGTGACCATTTTTGATGCGGCGTCTCTTTCCCACCCACATTAAGGAGATACGAATGTATTCTTGGTTCCAATAGTTATCTGTCACGTGGTTTTCAATCATTGTTGAAGTCCCGCAATAAGAATAATATAGGTATTTGAATTTCATAAAATGACCTTATTCCGAATTATATTAGAATTTGATAAACACTATTTTTTTGTGAAAATACATTTTCATGTTGGTATAGGTAACTACCCTTTGCGTGGAAAACAATTCATAGATACTGTCAAAAGTAACAAAGTCACTTTTTCATGTTCTCCAGTTAATATGCCCAAGTAACCCATTGATAGTAACCCAATATCGGGTAAAAACGTCCAATTCATAAAGGATTCTTGACTTGGGAATATTAACTGAAAATCATGCGAAAGTGATTTGGTCACTTTTTTCAATATGCCCACGAATTATCATTAATTGAGGGTGTATCTGAATAACACACAAAATTCAAGGTAGCAAATGAAGTTCATATCAACATGTGTCCTAACATGGTCCGTTTTTGAGATACAGGATGTTGAAGTTGGAAGTATTAATTGTTTTTTTAATATAACCCCCCTGTATGAACTTTCATGGTGCCATTAGTTATTTGGTGTTTGAGTTGCCACTTCATTAGAAATTTGAAATTCCAAGATTTTTCTCTTTTAGAAAATGCCGATTGGTTTGGAAAATAGATACGACCCAATTCAAGGATACAATTACACATACTGGCCAGACTCGAAATATTTCAGAAATTATAGATTTTCTCCGCCCATCAGTTGGTCTGATGATTGGTCTCGTAGGTCTAGGGTATGGTTTCCCTATTATTGGTCTACCAACAGACTTTTTCAACATTACATGGACCACAGACCATCTGGAAGATCACTCAGAGAGCAAAGAGTAAGTGCAGTGATAAGATTCCTCATATTTTTAGTAAATGAGATTTTCTCAAAATTTTTGACAAAATCTCTCAGAATTACTTTGCCGTCTTTTATGAATTTTGCTTGATATAGTTTGTGATGGGAGTTATAGAAATAAACCTGTTTGCATGACTTCTAATTCAGAATTCTTGAATGCCATATTCATAAACAGTTTTGCATTTTGAAGATGTGTATTATATCAATGATTATTCGAACACGTGTATATGTGTATGTAAATTTTCATTAATTTTTGTATATTTTTTTTTACAGTTGAGACATAACCTGTACTTCTGATGAGAATCAACCAACCCAATTCTATACCGAGACCTTCTGAATTTATTTTGTGATGTATTATTTTTCTACAAATAAAATGATAATTTATCGATTCACCATGTTTTTTTTTGCATGAATATCTATCTAAAGCAGGCCAATATCGAGAGAAGTCAAGATGAACCGAAACATGATTATTTGTGGAAATTGTGTTCCAATATGGTGTGAATTGAAATTTTGAAACTGAGAAAGTTCGAAAATAAATGTTTAGACTATCATCCATTGGTGTATATCTACTCATTCCATGTAATACCTATAGTGTTATTGATTTCCTCATGGAAAGAAGAATTGTTATTCAATTCCTATAAGAAAATTTATTTTTTTATCACTTTGCGATTTTCACATATACGGATTAGATAAAATTTAATATTCGCCAAGTCTTCAGAGTTGTTTACGGTAGATATATACCACGTTATTTCATTTAATCTCATATGTATTTATTCATTCAATCTCATATATCTGTTATGTGTATACATTTGTGGCAACTGGCAGCGACAGCAAATTTCAGCATTATTATGGATTCTATGAATATTAACTTCTTCGACAAAAAATAATGTTTTTGTTCCTACTCTAGACTGAACGAAGTTTTGAACATTCCAACTTATATCGAAATAGTAAACGAAAACTCGAAATGATATACAGATGGGTGAGTATTCTGGATAATATATATTCAATGAATTTTCAAAACTGTGGCATCGATAAAAATGGAAAGATTTTCCACAGAATAAAAGATCTTGAGAAAATAAAAAACGATGTATATTTATATAATATAACAGGGTACCGGTCCCAGTACCTTCAAATATTTTTGCATTCATATTTTTTCTCCAGGGCCTGAATCTGATGGAATTATCATTTTAATACTTTGCAAAAAAAAGTTTTACTCCCAAGATCTTTTATTTACATGTCCACTTTGAGAACTCACCACCTCTGTAAAATCGTTATTATCTGGTCTGTTTCGAAAAACTTTGTTTGTTGGATAGGTAGGTATTTGAAATGTCCATCCAATAAGGAAAAAATGGGCCTGCCGGAGACTGACACTTGCCGCTTTTGCAACAATGCGACCGAAACTGCGGAACACATACTTTGCTCATGTAAAGAATTAGTCTGCCAAAGGCTGAATCACCTAGAACAGGTCTATCGCACACCTGGTGAGGTGGAAAGGGTTAAATGACCAAAACTAGACCAGAGTAATCACAATAGATCTTCTTCAGGCCAGCGTAGCCTCTTGGTTAGACGTCAATGTTCTATCCACGTTGGATTACCGGTAGTGGGTTCGATTCCCACCACGACCGCTGAAATTTTTCTGATGGCTTAAGAAAGTGTTTAGGATCACACGTTGAAAGGTAAGACCCCTGTCATTTCTTGCTCGCAAAAGTCTCTTCGAGACTTCTGTGGGTTGCTCCTAAGAGAGGGCAACCGAATGATGGATAAGAACAATTTTAGAACAATTCTAGGTCTTAGTGATCGAAAGGTCTCCCAGCCTATACGACCCATCTACAATCAACAATCTACCTCAAACATATCGGGACCGATTTGCATCATTCAGATATTCGATGTGTCTGAGAAAAAAAGAAAGGATAAGTAGGCAATTTTTTTCATCAATCAAAAAAAAAAAATAATTCGTATTTTCGTGTGTTTGATGATGATGAAAATCGATACAGGTATCTTTCGAGTGATCTTGATTTTGAATCCGTCATTATTTTATGATTGCCTACTTATTAGACGCATTGTATTCTGAATGGTATAAACATTTGTAGATATGTTTGAAGTGGTCCTTAATAATGATTCGTCATCAGTTGTTCCCAAAAATACCACAGTACTACATTTTCTGATCACGTATTCAAGAAAATAGTACCTAATTCGTTTTTTCGTACAGGTATTTAAGTAATCCTGATTCAGAATACGTCATCAATGTTGATGAAAAAAATCCCTGATAGTACTTTTTGAAATATGGGCTAATTGAATTGGTCGCAGTTGGCCACGATAACAGTCCAAAAATAAAATCACTTTCTTGTTGGATGGACATTTCATATACCTATTCAAGAAGAATAGTATATTGTTTAACGAGCACGGAATGCTAGTCATATCGCACAAGAATGAAATGGGTGAATGCTGCAAATCATACGAGTGGGAAGTTAGCATCTCGTGCGAGTTTTACACTATACTTATTCTACGGATGTAACAGAAAACAGCAAAATTTTGTATTTCTTCGGAAGTAGTACTTTGATTCTCTCCTTAGTAATGATAATCTATTAGATAGACAATGAAGTCATTGTGATATCAGATATATAACTATTTTCGAAATCGATCCGATAATAATGATTTTACAGGAGTGGTAAGTTCTTTGAGTTGGACACACTGGAAATAATTGAACTTGCTTGAATATTTTCTTCAGAAAACGATATACCTGGATTACCCCAGATCGATCCCGGCAGTTGACTACTCATACTACCCCTATTCCTACAGATCCTACCGACCCCTATCCCTCTACTACAATTACTATTGGCCCCTGAGCAGCCTAAATCGCTACAGCGACAGTTGGCCTGACTACCCGTACTACAGGTACCTGTACTACAAGTACACCCTGCCCAGCGACAGGTACTACCATTTGAAAGGAGTAAGTACAAAACATATATGTACTATTTCTATATAAAGCGCATCGCCTATATGATATCTCAACAAAAATGGGACCAAAATGAATCTATAAGGACGGAAAGTGAAAGATTGAAACTGCTGACGTGAGGATCAGATTTTAAGTTAGGTTAGGTTCCTAAATAATTATTTGAACATAATAAAATATTAAGTATAATACCGTCAACTTCGATTTATTCTTTTATAATGTGGTTAAAATATAGCAAAGCATAATGTCATTAACTTTGAGGAACAGGAGAGAGCCATTGCAGATGATAATGAAATGAACTGCGATAATGATTCCAATCAGTTCGGTGGAATGTTTCGAGATTTACATCCAACATTATTGCTTCAGATCTTGGTATTGAATATTGAATATAGGTCAGGGTAAACCTAGGTATATGTATTCTTTTTCTCAAATCTGTTTTACATGATAGGACTACACTACACTACTTGCCATTCACTGATTCATACTTGGTTTACTTTAAGGAAATTCCTATTATATTATGCTTGTTGCTGGCGGTTCAAGTATGTGGACCTCACTAGGTAAATATATGAAGGTAGAGCCAATTCCGAGGCCAATTCTTCCTATATATCAACAATCCAATCAAGATCTGGTGAAAAGTATATGTCGGCGTCAAACAGTGAAATCCGTCATTCTTTGGAGTTCATAGTCATTTCACGTATTGACGGCAAACAGCCTAACTCTAAACTTCGTTCACCATTTGGCTAATTGTTTCAGGTTTCCCCTGTAATGCAAAGTCAGGTTAGGTTGTTTAGAAACAGTAGTCTCTTTTGTTCTCTGAAGTAATTTTCAGAAATATGTACTTTCTAGGAATAAGGTTTATCAATGCCAAGTTAGGTTAGATTTTGTTTAGGAAGAGTAGTCTCTTCTTCTATACTTATCCAAAATAGTTATTTATTATACAAGGGAAACAAGTAGTAGATTTTAGCTCCAGGTTGTGTCTTATATTTTTCCCGTGTGTAATACACTTTTTTTTTCTGTGACAGAAGAAAGGACGAATCAATATTGAGAAGATATTACATTATTTTGAAATCTGAAAATTATCGACGTGAAATTTTAAGTTTTTAACACTAGGGACACCTGCGTTGTAGGCATCTTTATCATTCTTTTGAAGTAATCAAATATCTGATGTCACTTCTGTCAGTCTAATTCTGTGATTTGATTTCAAAAAATTGCGAATTTAGTGGTTGTTTAGTAAAGATGAAAGGACTTGCAGTTCTTTCTCGGAGACGGTATTATTGACTCATTTTTCGAAACTATATAGCACAAGAAAAGCCATCAACAGTGTATATATATGTGATATATATCCGGGAAAAAAGTTATTTATGAAAAGTGACATTTTATAACCTACCAACAGAGATGAAATGCCAGACTTTTTTCCCGTCACAGAAAAATAGTAATTTTCCTAACAAGTGCGGAAAGTGATTCTTTTCCGCACGCGACTGCCGTTGACACGAACGACGCGAAGCGGAGCTCGGGCAAGCAGTCGAGTGCGGGAAAGACACTTTTCGCATGAGTTAGGAACAATATTTTTTTTACAAGCGTAGGAAATTGATTCATTCGTTCAATTAATTATTCAAGCAAACTGGAACAACTAACAAGAGATATATATTCTCTATCTACTAATTATTAGTAATAGCTATTGTGAACTTACAGTTTGACGCATTATGTTGGTTCATTGCGGAAGCCAGCAGGCCCATAAGTAGTTTGGTCTCTAGGTTTCAGACACTTCTATGAAATGAGCCAAAAATACCTATTTTTCATTCGGTATTTTCATTTCTTTATTGTTGCACCATTCAATAAAACGCGTGTATAGCTTCTCATACCTTTCTTAAGACTTCGTTGGTGATAACGCATCTGTATCGAATCCCTATAGCTAGAAGTTTTTGATCACATTGTGACATTTCCACTGAATCGAAAATGACAGTACCGCTGTATCTGTCACTTCGACAATTTCAAACTTATTTGAGGTTTCATTGACATGACAACAATAATCGGTCCGTCAGATCAATCCAAATCTATAGGGGGATTTTTATAATAATCAATTTTTATTTCTCAATATTTCTTAATTTTTACAATAAATAGTGCGATTTGAAGGATAATTCTGAACATACATACTTAATACTGCAACAAACAAACTTAAACTTTTATATTCCATCACCAACCACTTATATTATTAGCGATTTCATCATATCTTTGTTTTCCCGCACTAGTGCGGGAAAATGACACTTCCCAAACTATATTGCGTGCGGGTATAGGGTGAATCACGCACGCTTGTAGAAAAAGGATATTTACTTTCCTCAACCTGCCGTCAAACAGAGTGACACCTGAAAAATACTAGGCGTTTCAGGTTTCATGGAATGAGGGGTTTCACTAATTGACTCCGACATTTATATTAATTTAAGTAAAGTTCACGTGGATTTATAATCGAAATACAACGAATTGGTAACATTCGTCAACTACATTGTTTTAAACATGTGATAGCTAAGTCATTTGGTCTGGATCTTGTTATATGAGTTAAATATATCGAGTATCCAGCGAGGTGGTCATAACTGTATTCCACTCAGCTCATTTTACTGGTTAGAAACCGTGACAGACGAAAAATATCAGTATGTGGGTGTTGCATGTTGCATTTCTTGTGTCGCGTAGATTATATCGAACAGGGTAAAAATAACGAGGGTGAATTTTTGCAGAGGATGCTCTCTGTCGACGAGCCAATTAGGGAATACAGAATTCACCCCCGAGCAGAGTATCTGCGCCGCAAAGTCTATAAGCCCCTGAGTTTGTATTGCGATTATTACTATCCCATAAGGGGATTGTTCAATTCTGCTTATTGGCCCATGTACCGAAACGTGGCGGATTTTGCGGATCTGTGCAAGGATGGTACTGGATCCAGGTTGCAAAGAGTGAGTATTCTGCATCTGGAAAATCTAGCGAAACCCCCGACGCCAGTGGAAATTTTCCATTTTCTATCGGGTAGACTCAATTTGAATTTCTTAAAATCACACACACAACATGTCAGTGTCCAAATTCACTTGAGATCATCATTCTACGAAAAAAACTGACGACACATAAGGTTATTGTTCATTGAAAATTCCTAAGAGACGCTGATATCGTTATATTTTGACCATGCATATTTTTAATGGCCATCGGACCAAATAACAACAATCACTTATACTTACGACACAAATTACAGAAATGGTGTAAAAGTAGGTTCAATTTTGATAGTGGTGAATAAAATTCTGGTAGTTAATTGAGTTTCTAATTCCATTTTAAAGAGAATTCGGACAGCGAAATCTATTAAAGTGAGATATGATTAGGATGTACTTAACAAGAACCTAATATTGCGATTTACAACTTTCAATTGCCGTCAACTCTGTGCAAAATAAAAGCACATCAGTGCAATCACACGTGCTCCTTCGCGAATCGCGATTCTGGCAAATTTCATTGGTCAGAGGCTGCTTTCCGTTGGATGTTGCCAAGTTGCAGATTCGTATTGTATCCTGATAACTTTGTTATGAAAGCATTGCTGCCAAATTCTCAAATTCTAATTGATATAAGGAAATAAAACCGATAAAACGTACGTAAGTTAGCTATTTCGATGTAATATTTTATACAAGTATATAGAACTAGTCGATGTATGGTGATTCTTGAGGAGGCCAGGAGGCTCAGACTCCGTTGCCTTCTCTGAGGGGTCATTACTGTGAAGCTATCCTCCAACTGACTCAACGTTCACTAATATCGTGTACAGAATTTTAAGTAAATTTCCATCAGCTCTATCAATCATTAGTATCGAGTATTGTTGACATAAAAATAACGCCAAAAGAGCAACCAAATTAATATAAAAAACCGGGAAATGTATAATGTCAACCTTGATTTCAATTGGTCAGTATATCCAGCTTGCAAGCGTTTAAATCATAGTCTCGCACACACTGTAGAAAATTCCTCTGAGTGAATGCATATGTGATTGTGAGTGAATTCACTGATTGACATTTTTGAGTGAATTCTCATCTCAAACTAGATATTTCATCAAGTTCTCATATCAATGAGAATGTTTATAAAAAATTTGATCGAATCGGTTCATGAATTACCATTTTACACAGTCGAGTAGGGTGCAATTTTAACTCAATCGGGCATGGACCGAAATTGGCTCATTATTGCGTGGACCTTGAGTGAAATTTCACTCAATTTATTTTTCAGTGCAAGCGTCTTGCTAGACCTGCGAATCTTCAAACATCGAGATCAAGTGACGTCACCCACAACACATGAAATTTCTTCCTTCCAAATCTTGCTTATATTGAGAAACTAGTACTACTACGAGTAAAGCGATAACTTAGTGGCCTGTTTATCTGACTCCCAATGTAGTGACTGGGGTTCAATTCCTGCGAGGCGACAATTTTTTTTTCAATTTTTTTCACTCAATTAATTTTTCAGAGATATACTTTTCAGGAAAAATGTTAATTTAGGACAAGTTAGGATGAAAGTACTTCACTTCTTGATGCAGAAGAAATATTTCCCTTCCTCATATTACCCTATAAGTCTTATAGTCAGAGAACCTTGAGGTTTGAAAGATTCGCTGGTCTAGCTTCGTGAGTCTCACGGCTTGCAGCCATGGTGTCCCTCATTTTTATATTGTCACAGAAGTTTTATATATTCATTGGCGTCCACATCTGAATTAGGTGCATTTAATAAGTTACATGATTATCAAATTATGAAGAAGATCTAGATGATACTTCCGATTTCTGGTCCTGGGAAGCTGTGCTTTCTTAACTTGAATGAATGAAACGCTACTGCAGAGATGCGTACCAAAAATTGAAATAAAAATCGACCAATTTTCAAAAGCTTACCGAGAACTTCCGAATTGTCCCGAATTTAATCTATACCGATTGATTGAGAATAATGGAGACATTTTGTTCTTTCATTCCGTTGCTCAAATTCCGAAAACATCATCTACATGAATCAAGGTCTTCACCCTTGCTAGTCTACCTACATCGCAGATACTTATAAGGTCAGCCGAGCACTTGAGGCTGGTTGACTGGATTCTGATTTTCCGCTTGACATACGCTCACGTAAACATATTACGATATGTGATATATTATGAGTGATATAAGATATACGTCCTACTGAATGTTCATCATCAAAGGCAAAAACAATGAGGGCGTAACTGAAATGTGTGTTACGGGGTGTTGCATTGAATAGTTACCTATTTGTTTTACTTAACAGAAAAGCACAAGATTTAATGCCGCGGTCGGCGTTTCATTGCCAAGGCGTAGTATAACCTCTGCGTAGCAGAAAGGCATTGAAACTGCTTTTCTGCCGTGTGAAACATATAATTTTTCCTACAAATTCCATCATTTTGTGTTCACCCAACAAAAAACAAAATTATATAGTTCGAATTCATCACTATTGCATGTACAAGATATATGGCATTATTAAATCTAGTGTAAAACAGAAAAAAATAGAAAAGTCTATTGTGAGGCAAGAATTTTGAAGGAATTTCATTCTTCTGAATTGATTAAGCATTCCAATAGTGTGTTTTCCGGAAACTTCCGTCTTGGGTTCACTGTTGAATCTCTCTGTAAGCACTGCATAAAACTGGATAATTTGGAGATTGGGTTCGTTTTTGAAAAACTTCAAGGGTAGCTTTTTCAGTACCTCAGAAATTGGTTGCACCTTGGCCAGCCGATATAGAAGTTCGTTTGATGGATGATGAAGGGGATTTTGAGGGTTTGATTACTAATTTGATTCGAATTATTATTTGGCATACAACATAGCAGCAAACTTTTTCTGCCTGTTAAGTGTTATTGATGAGAAAAGCCTAGAAGACATTCCTCTCAACAAAGTATGAAAATAGTTCATAATAAATGAACAGGGGTCCGAAAATGCTTCGTATGCTGCAAATGCATGGCAACAAAAACGTGCGATTAGTGCACAAGTAACATAATGTTTATCCTATTTCATATATATGATTTCACGAGAACATAATCGCCATGAAATTATTGTGTTCTCTGAGGCAATTGATCAAGCACCTCTATGTTTGTCCTATACATTCTCTTTGTTATTTGATAATTTCCTCGTGGTACTATTCGTGCTCTTTGACACTTGATTCGAGCAACTGACCCAAACCGTCCCAAACTCTTCAGAATTAAATTCTGCGATCGTCTTAAAAATGTAGTTAGTCTAAAACAATTCCAATAATGGATCTTTGATGTCGTGGAATTTGATTCTAATAGTGCCTGCAGGCCTGATCCAATTAAATCATAGTAAGATCGGGAAAGTCAATTCGCGAAAAAGGAAATATCAATCGATGAATACAATTCTCTAGAGCATATGTGATGAGGGATGGTTCTTTTATTGTTTCACTTCCATCGAACTTTAAGAAAAATATTGAATTCGTAATGAGAAAGAAGCAGAACACAACACACTCGAATCTAATCACCTTATTGAGATAGATTAATGCACACCCCATCTCCCATAATTCTTTTGTATTCATTGGTGAAATTGGTACCGCAAGGAGTCGGGAAACCAAGAAATATAAAAGAAGTTGCTTTCATCAATAACTATCCATTCGAGAAATTTGCTTCCTCCATGAACTACCTTCTTCAACTCCAAACTCATAGCCTGATGGAAATATATTTGATCTGACATCTACTACCACCTCCACTGAGAGTCATCTCACATTATACCATTAATTCGAAATTTGAACAGTGGAACTGAATTTTCAGGAATTCAAACCATATTTTGGATAACAATTAGAGGGAGAAATTGGTTACACTTACATTGCTGACATTTACTGCATACCCAAATGAATATCGAACAATCTCGACAGTCATCAGTGTATGGATTCGAAAAGCAAAAAAGTTTTACTTGATATTTCCTTGGAATCAAAAAGCTGGAACACAGAAGAAGAGCTAATGTTATGTTGTATAGTGATTCAGAATTAACATGGTCTAGGTTATGCACAACCATTGCTTCTGCTATGCTTCATAATAAAAGATGTACTTAGTCTCTGACAATATTTTTCATATAATTTTTTATTTTGTTTTTAGATTTTCGATGACGAAACAAGGCTCATTCGCGCTCAAACAGCCTCACTATTGAGACGTGTACACGATCCTGTACCGCGTGTTCACCGTTACAGCTGGCCATTGGCGATCACTTCAACGTAAGTACCTTATAATATCAACAATGTAACCAAATAATTGTACCTGACCAGAGATAGATGAGATTTTTTTCTGATTGTTTGAATTCGAAACGGACAGACGACACGCGGCGTCCGGCGTATGTTTTTCGCTGGAGCTGATCCAATTGTGTTTGGAAATACTACCAATATTAAACATTATTTTAGGTGAGAAGCAGATTCTTCACGACCAAGAACCAAATTGAGTCTTACTAAGCTATATTAGCGTGCGATCTTTACCAAACTTGGATTGGTATGAATAACCGAACATCAGTTTAGATAGTACCGTCAGGGAAACTGACCTCGTAATATTGTTCTTCATTGTTTCAAACTCATATACAGAGAAGTGCACAATAAACGGATTGGTTGGTAGCAAGTATACCGGATTGCCCATTAATTGAGAAACCAATTTTTGTTCAATCACTTACGGTTGCACCGGAAACTACCCTAACTTTTGATTTTCAAATAGGACACCCTGTATTTTATCCCATAATGGGTTAGGGATTATCATAACGAATTCAACGAAACCAAATTTGATAGGGTTATTTCAAACGATTACGAAGATATTCGTGTTCTCAGTTTCCATATGCTCAATGGGTGTGACTTCGCAATATCGAAACTTCTATCTCTATCCCACTTATTGCGCAAATGGAAACTTTGAACGCGCATCACATCAATCAAAATCTGCAAGGGGATTTTTATAATAATCAATTTTTATTTTCGAATATTTCTTAATTTTCACAATAAATATAGTGCAATTTGATGGATGATTCTGAACATACATACTCAATACTGATGCAACAAACTAACGTGAACTTCCATATTCCATCCCCTATTTATACTTCAATTTTTATATTATTATTATTTTTTGCGATCTTATCATATCTTTGTTTTTCCCGCACTGTTGGGGAAAAATGACACTTCCCAAACTGAATTGCATGCGGTTATAGGGTAAATCACGCATGCTTGTAGAAATAGTAATATACATGTACAGAATTTCGATATCTCAATACATTGGAATTCATTGCCTGAGGAAGTATTCCCAACAACATAATTATAATCTCCAGAAGTTCAAAAAAAATTCCAATACCTACCTCCTGTCCCTATCCTCCCTAGGAACGCACGATGTTCTTTGAACATTATAGGGATTTCCTTTCGTGCGCTCCAAGCGATAAAAAAAATAAACTACGAAACACTAATTTCGTCGCACCCCAGAAATATTATCTGTGTTGAAATATGAATAACTTTTTTCTGCTCTCAACGATTTGAATTTGGATCACACTGTTCGCTAGCCCTGTCCTTCAGCTATAATCTCGTGATTCTTTGAAACATGAGATTCCTCACATAAAATCGCTACAGGGTGTTACCCGAAACTGTGCAAAATTTCGGAAATTTCAAAAGTATCCCAAATGGAGAAAAACTTTTTTTTCTCAACTTTTACAATAAAGGCATGCAGATGATGTCAGGAAATCCATTTTATGGCGCCACTTTGAAAAAGAGAATGATATCCAATCTTTTGATGAGTTTAGGCTATTGAGAGCGAAAGTTAAAATCGACATCAATGAGTCGTACAAAAACTATGTGCAAAGGTCCGAAGCTGAAATATCTTCCAATCCAAACAAATTCTGGCAGTTCATCAATTCTCGTAAGTCTTCATCAAAAATTAGCAGCAGAATGGTGTATGACGACAAATTGCTGCAAGAGCCTCCAGAAATTCTAAATGGGTTTGCCGACATGTTCAGTAAATCCTACACTCTGTCAACGCAGCACGATTCCACACCCGATTATGGTAGTGAAGACGGTTTGCCCCTTATACTTATAACTGAATTCAGTGAGAAGGAAGTCTACGACGCTATCAAATTGTTGAAACCAAAATCAACAGTAGGACCAGACTGTATACCAGCATTTATTTTGTAATTAGAGACTGCGCCTCAGCACTTGCCCGACCTTTATCAATTCTGATCAATATATGTCTTAAATCTGAATACTTTCCGACAAGCTGGAAGCTATCAAAGGTATGTCCTATATATAAGAAGGGTGATAAAAATATCCTTGTGAATCATAGACCAATTTCGATTATATGCAACTTTTGCAAGATTTTCGAAATTCTTCTGGAACGTAATCTGTCCTATAGCAACAAAATCATTTCTCCCCATCAACATGGTTTTATGAGAGGTCGGTCAACGGTTACAAATCTGATAACAGTTACTCAATACATTTCTGAGAATATTGACAATCGTGCGCAAACAGACGTCATCTACACCGACTTCTCCAAAGCCTTCGACAGACTTGACCACGGAATTTTGATAAATAAACTGAAAGCATTTGGCTTATCTATCTCTCTAGTAAACCTATTCAAATCATACCTCACTAATCGTAAACAATATGTCCAGTTGAACGGCTACAAGTCTATCGAATATCTTGCAACATCTGGCGTACCACAAGGCTCCAATCTGGGGCCACTTCTTTTCAACATTTTCATTAACGACATTGGTAATGTTATTGACGTGAACTTTTTGCTATATGCGGACGACCTGAAATTATATAGGTGCGTGAATCACATAGATGATTGTCAACAGCTCGCTGACAACCTGGGTCGGGTGGAAGAATGGTGTCAAAATAACAGATTAGAACTGAATCCTGTCAAATGTAATGTCATGTCCTTCACATTGAAGTCGGACCCTATCGTTTTCAATTACTCAATTGGTGACATTTCTCTTCTGAGACCTATAACATTCAAAGATCTTGGCGTTATTTTTGATCAATCTTTATCGTTTAATGATCATATTGACTCAATCCTGAAATCTGCATTTCGAGCATACGGGTTCATAGTACGCAACAGTCGTGATTTTAAAGAGATAGATACTCTCAAGAAATTGTACTACTGTTTTATACGTTCGAAGATTGAATATACATCGGTTGTTTGGAGCCCATACTATCGGAACAATACTGATCGTCTTGAAAGTCTGCAACGACGGTTTTTAAAACTGTTAAGTTACAGGTCATGCGGTACATACCCTCCAATTGGTACACCTCATGGAGAGCTTCTAAAAACTTTCCGACTCGTGAGCCTGCACGTAAGAAGACAATATTTCTCTATCCTGATCCTTTATAAGGTTGTTAACAATCTAATTGACTGTGCAGATTCGTTGGAAAAATTGAACTTTATTATCCCGAGATTATCTTCCAGAAATTGTGATACGTTCTACTTAGAGTTTCCTCGAACCAACATATATAAAAATTCACCCTTGTATAAGATGTGTAGTACATATAACTTGGTAGCTAGGAATATAGATCTGTTCAGCTGTGGAATAAGTCATATCAAAACTTTTTATCTTTTTTCTCCTTCATCAGTGAATAACTAGATACTTAGTCAGGATATTTTCATTTTGTCATATTGTTTCGTCTATCCATTATGCTTATGTAATATGCAATGCATGTTTTTGTTTTGTCCTCTTTTTCCTGTTCTGTAAATGGGGCAACCTGTTGAACAGTGTAAGAAATAAATAAATAAATAAATAAATAAATAAATAAAATTATCTTGGGACAGTTCTTGAATTGTCTCATTATCTCTTTCATTTAAAGAGTGATCTCAAAAAATTAACTTTTTGGCTTCGCAGTCATTCCTTCTTTCCTCGTCGACCAATTTTCAAAATCTCAGGCTCATTCTGAAGCTTGAACTTCAGATGAAGAGATAAAAAGTTCAGAATTGACTCAAGATGAACATTATACAGTGTGTCTCACTTATAATGGAAGCACCCCTGAATCTTTCGTAATTGTTGAGTTAGGATTCTGGAATTTGCAAGAGTGGTAGATATACTGAAAATACACACTATGACCAATAATACCCTGCTCGCCAACAGCCATGGAACCACCCACAAAAATAATATAAGAAGGCAAGATAGGTTGAAAATCACTTCGAATTCAAAATCAGGACGCCCCTTTCGCTTCTTCCTGTGAATTTCAGAACCCTACCTCAATAATTACGTGATATACGGGGGTACTTCCATGAGAAGTGAGACAAAATTCAATTTTTCTGAACTGAAAATTTTCCAGGAAACAAATGTATAGTCAGTGAATTGGACGTCCTGCTTTCGAATTCGAAGTGATTTTCAACCCATCTTGGCTCCTATGACTGTTGGCGAGCAGTGTTTATCACTGGAGATGACTCCACTTCGTCATAGTGTTCATTTTCAGTATATCTCCCGCTCCTGTCAGTTTCAGAATCCTAACTCAACAATTACGAAACATACAGGGGTGCTTCCATTAGAAGTGAGACACACTGTATAATGTTCATCTTGAGATAATTCTGATCTTCATATCTCTCTGAAGTTTCAGGTTCAAAATGAGATTTTAAGAACGGGTTGATAAGGAAAAAAGTTATGACTGCAAAACCACAAAGTTAAATTTTTGAGATTACTCAGATAATAAAAGAGATTAGAAGACAATTTGAAAAATATCCATAGGTAATGAGATGATCGTCATGCCTCTGATGTCGAAGTTGAAAAAAAAAATTCTGTTCATTTGGGATCGTTCTGAAAATTCCGAAATTTTTCACAGTTTCAGGTAACACCCTGTAGCGATTTTATATGAAGTACCTTATGTTTTAGAGGAGTACGAGATTTTAGCTGAAGGACTGGGCTAGCGAACAGAGTGATCCGAATTCAAATTGTTCAATGCAGAAAAAAGTTTTCCATATTGTAACAGAGACAAAATTCTGATGGGGTGTTGCGTAGTTTATTTACAAAAAACCATTATCTCGGACCCTCTTCCAGATGGCAGAACTTTTTTTGTTTTTGGTCCTAGAATCCGTGGTTGAGATCTTTCTATGTAATTTCGGACACTAAACTAAACATGGTGTCTCTATGGTGATTCATCCTCAAAATTAAAAAAACAATTTTTTTTTCAGACCGTACCAAAAAGCTCATGTCGCGCGATTGGGCAACGACAATTACATCCATCGGCTGCTGATGACCTCCCCCAAGAACCCCAGGGTGGAATTCACCACCTACTACTCAGAGCCCGTGAGAAAGTACATCGGTGAGTTCGCCGACCCACCCCTCCACCCCTGGGGGTGGCAAAGGGGGTGTAAGATCATTGTCCAGTCTTCCGAACGGAGTTTCTCACTTCCGGCCGTTCATGATGTATAGGGTGATTCCATCATCCAAGTAACCATTTCGCTTGAAAAATTCAAAAGAATATATTGAAAAGGGATATTCTCAGATATATTACGAACATGAAAAAATAATGGATACATATAGAGAAATACATTGAGAATTCGATATAAAAATATCAATTCTTCCTCGGTACAATTACTTTCCTGACTATGTGCCACGACAAACATTGAATCACATCTACTGAACATAAACAATAAGAATTTGAGAATGAGATCTTCTGAAGTTGAAAATTTGCATTTTCTTCCGTATACAAATATATATGTTTTCATTATCATTCTGAATATTCAACAGAAAAAAACTACTTTTCTGGCTATTCGTCACGCCGAACATTGAATTTTAACTGTTGAACATCCAAAAGTAAAGTATCTGTTTTCTGTTGAATATTCAGAATGATATTATATACATAAATATTCCTATCTGGAAGAGAATGCAATTTCTTAATTCAAGGATTGTGCGTGTTCAATAGATATAATTCAATGTTGTCGTGGCAAATAGCCAGGAAAGTAGTTGTTTTCTGTTGAACTAGCTGACCCCGCAAACGTTGCTATGCTCTATATACATACATTATTTCTAGAAAATATTTCTTCTGTTGAATTTTCATCAACACACTATTATTATTATTTTGATTTTAACTTCTTTTTGGTTTGGCTATCTACAAGAGCGTGTTTATTTAATACTCAATTTTGACGAGACAATCCGAATCCTTAAACCCCAGATGAAAATTTTGAATACAATCGGATCATAATCACAAAACTCTTCCGTCATATTGGATCTGCCATTTCCCAATTTCCACGAAGGAACCATACTCTCCGATCTCGAGAATCCCCAGATACCAATTACAAATCTCGTCCGACATGTTGGAGCAGCCATTTTTGTTTTTATCTCTAACAAAAGCTGCATGATGCATTGTCACCAAGATTATGTATAGGTACACTTAATAAATTTGAAATCAATCGGACAATTACATTAGAATTATGATCACAAAATCCGCCATATTATATCCGCCATCTTGAATTTACAGGGATAGAAAGTATCCAATAGCAGTCTCCTGGTTTTGAGCTACATTCCCGCCAATTTGCAGCCAAATTGGTACAGTCGTTCTTGAGTTATACATAGTGTAACAAATTTTGAACTTTCTTTTATATATATAGATATAGCGAGAAAGAATTGTTATTTTAATCAGATAGAGAATGCGAATTCTCAATGTATTTTTATACAGATATGTATCCTTTATTTTTTCATGTTCATATAATATACCTATTTGAGAATATTTCTTTTTAATTCTTCCATAACCAATCTATAGGGGTTTGAACTTGAACGATGGAAATTTTTTATTCTTACAGAACTCTACTCAGAGACTCCTGATGGGGTTTTCTCACTTCAGAATTTTTTTTACACGATCTGTATGATGAATATCATCCTGAAGTGAAGAACTTACAAGTCTGCATCAACAATGGGATTACAAAAAACTCTTCATAAAATATGGAGTCATGTTTGAATAGATATAAGGTGGAAAACTAAGATCAATTTCCACTCGAAATCTAATTACGTCACTTCATTCGCAAACGTATAGGTGTCTTCACCATATTTCATGATGACAATATTCGTACGACTTGTGTACCATTGAATCACCCCGTATCTGCATCTGATGGCGAAGTTGACTATCACGTTCGGATGACTTGGAAGGGAAAAACGTTGCTTCTGTTCTCGCAATAAAACAATTTCGAACTCGAATACAGTGTGTTCCAAAAATGCCTACATCGAATTCATGCACAGTAACTCTTTGCTAATTTTTGGTTATAGTAAAAATACGAGAATTGGAATCTTTTAGATAACGTCATAGCTGCTTTTAAGTAAGTGATGCACTAAAACAAATGGAAGTGAAGGATGTCAAGAGAAAATGTTCATTACAGAACATCATTTGTTAGTTTTCATGAGTATATATACTTTGTAGTTAAAACTGTTATAGTTATTTATTTCTGGAGCACCCTGTGAAATTGTGTATATATTGTAAGTACTAACAAAAAATACCAGTTTTGAGAACTGAGTCCTCGATTCTACTTAGAAACACAATTCATCCTGTAGAATTGGAGGTACGTTGTTCTGACACACTTTGTATATAGAGTTTTGGAACCATCTAATACTCCCCAGCACATATTTGAAGATTTGTGAATCCCCGTTTAAATTTCTAATGATCCACGGATGCCCTTGAAGAGCCATCAACCTTCATCAGACTAATTCGTTTGAGACCTTCAATCTGAGCAATAAGCCAATTTTAAGTATGATCCCTCGCTGTGCTTCTACTCCTCATCAATAATTCAACTCTATAGGTTGAACACCCTTCAATTTACTGCCAAACCAGACGAGAGTCTCATGATCGTATCTTCCAAATAGACGATCAAACCCAGCGAAAAAAGTTGCTAATTACTTAGATTCTCAGTCTGCAGCGATGAATTCGAAATGTTACCCATCAGGTGCACAGACACTTTATGGGAAAAATGTTCTAGTACGAGTTGCCTATACCTCTACAATTCCAAATTTGAATTTTTTAAGCATACAGTGTGTCCCACTTACCATGCTCACCATGGGTATCTTTTTAACGTTGAGAGATACGAGGTCGGTTAAATGACACCAAATGTGGAGTTTGTCAAGGTCAACTATAATGTGAAAAAATATTTTGATAAAATCTATTCGTTTTTGTTTTATACGCAAAAAACAGATTCTGATCATTTTCATGTCTCCTCCGTAACTTCTTTATTCATGAAAATATTCAAATAGGAATTCCACATTCTCATGGCAGTTTTCCAGAGTGATTTCGAAAATAATATGACATTTATACCAACTCTTCTAGAATTTGAGATATCAGCAGCAACTTTAGTTTTTCAAATGTAGGTCATAGCTCACTATGACTTAGTTACAAATAACTTTTTTTTCTCTAACAGATGATATGTCGCAGTGATAGTTTTGTGTTGATAACAACGGAGTTTTCGTCATTTATACAAAAATAAAAAATTATTCGGAAGCCGCCATCTTGAATTTATGAATTTTAACAAAAAAATCATGATCTCCGACCTCAAAAACCCGCACTAACCAATTTCGAATGGAATCGGACCAAATCTTGTCCGCCATCTTGAAGCAGCCATTTTTTTTAAATTTCAACAAAAATTCCATAATGTATTGTCACCGAAATTATACCTGCCAAATTTCAAGTTGATCGGAGTTATGGAATTTTTGTTGAAATTAAAAAAAATGGCTGCTCCAAGATGGCGGACAAGAATTGGTCCGATTCCATTCAAAATTGGAAAGTGCGGGTTTTTGAGGTCGGAGAACATGATTCTCATGTTAAAATTTATAAGTTCAGGATATCGGCTTCCAAATAATTTTTTGTTTTTGTATAAATGACGATAACTCCGTTGTTATCAACACAAAACTATTACTGCGACATATCATCTGTAAGAGAAAAAAAAGTTATTCGTAACTAAAGCATAGTGAGCTATGACCTACATTTGAAAAACTAAAGTTGCTACTGATATCTCGAATTCTAGAAGAGTTGGTATAAATTTCATATTTTTTTCTAAATCACTTTGAAAAACTGCCATGAGAATGTGAAATTCCTATTTGAATATTTTCATAAATAAAGAAGTTACGGAGGAGACATGAAAATGATCAAAATCTGCTTTTTGCGTATAAAACAAAAACGAATAGATTTTATCAAAATATTTTCTCACATTATAGTTGACCTTGACAAACTCCACATTTGGTGTCTGTTAACCGACCTCGTATCTCTCACCGTTGAAAAGATACCCATGGTGAGCATGGTAAGTGGGACACACTGTACATATACACACACTCAGATTGATATACTTACACTGATGTGTCCATAAAGTCAAATCCTCTACCCTAGTTATTTTTTGAGTGGCTGGGATTTTTTTTTGCTTCAAGTGCTACATTTTGATTACAATGAAGAATATTTATTCATCAAAACTTCGTGAATCTGTATTGGATTTTCAGACATTTCAAAATATAGATGTATTTTCAGAGAATTACAATCTGGCGTCCTCCAAAACATAAAACATGTACCCACCAATATTCGTTCTATACTTCTTTCGAATTAGCTGTTTTTTGAACTCAACAAATATAGTATTACCATCAGTTGATATTCATTCGAGTTCTTGTTTTGTAAAGATTTTGAGAACATTTCATCAAAGTAACAAACTGTTAGAGGCATTTCATACAATTTTGAAGAACAAAACCAAATTGATGATGCCCCAGAAGAATTTACTTCGGATGTATCAACTTCTGTGAATTTATCGAATACGATAAATTCAAGGAAAGAAAAATAATATCATCTCATTTGAAAGAAGGAGAAAATTCACGTAACTTGTTGAGGACCGCATTTTTTCTATACAACTATAACACAAAATTGCCTTTGTTTCACTGTTTACGATAAATCAATGACTTCAATTTCATTTCCATCTTCTGATTATTCCACTCCTTTCGAAATACACGTTTTTGATTGGTTGGAACATCTGTTTTGATATCGAAAAGTTTATGTTTTCAATTCTGTATTTTGGCAGTTGATTTGATACTGCATATACTTATTATAGTGTGGTTGCTCGTCCCGCAAAATCGTTACACAAAATGACGCATTTCCAAACTGGTTACATAATTATCTATTTTCCATGCTATTAGTATTTCCCAAACCAATAGAGGTATTATTTTTGCATTATTTTTCGAATTCGGAAGGAACATTACGTTATTAAGGAGACAACCTGTATATACGGCGTAACTATATTTCTTCAGTGTAACAAATATGAGGCTAAATGAGATAGAAATTAGAGCAGACATTATAATTCAACAAAGAACACTATTATGCTCAACTAGCTCGTAACTTTACTACATTCCCAAGTAATTCCAGGAGAACAATTTCGTGTTTATTATTTCTTTAGTAACCTGCTGTGAAATGGAAATTCTCATTGCAGCATTTTCCTAAGTAAGCACGATATCTTTCAATCTTGAATTTATTCGGGCTTCCTCAAACCACTCACAAGCAAAAAAAAACAGCATTCGAGAGACGAAACAAGAGAAAATCCAGTACAAGGATAATCTCTATTATTACGAGGAAGAGCTTCCTTTCAGCGCGAGTATACGAAGTGTTTATTTTGCCTGGAACGTGACAAATAACGATCTTCTTTAATATGGATTCTGTCGCAACTTTTTTCTTGGCGTCTGAACGCGACGAAAATAAAACTTTTATGGTTTTAAAGCTAAGAGGAAGTTTCTGCATCGTGATTATCATGAAAAAATTCTGGGTGATCTGGAAATCATGAAGCTTTATGATATCATAAGTAACACGAGTCATCATCAAGTAAAAATAATATATTGGATTTTTCTTTCATTTACCTCAGTCCAGGGAAGAGTCCCTCCTATCCTCATAAATATATGGTGTGTCTGAATAACACTGAAAAAATTCAAGGGGCGCTTCTGTGAAGGAAATGGAGGTGGGTATTTGGTATAACATTTTTTCATAAACCTCTTCTTGGAAAAGTTCCACCACTCTGCGAAGATCAACGAAATGAGAATTTCTGTTTTGCAAAAACGTGCCTAAAAATCCCAGTTCATGAACTTTTATATCCCTAAAAATTTTGTCTAAAACTCAAGCGTTTGCCATGTTTTGGCCAAAAAAAGTTTTAAGGCAAAAACGTATTGATTGAACATTCCAATCTCTTCTATGCATATTTCAGGGTTGTGAACATCACAAAATGTGTAGTTTTATTGACAAATATTATTCACCTAGTTTCGTGCCTAATATACAGGGAAAATAAATGAAAAAAACATTTTTTTAATTTTCAGAGTGGTGTTACTTTTCCGGAGATTGGTTTTTCAGAGAATTAATTGTATACCAAACACTCAGCTTAATTTTCATCACATAATAACCCCTGAATTGTTTTGGTGTTATTCATATAAACAAATATCAAAAAAATAAAAATAAGAACGGTATTGACGTCTCTTGCGAACAGCCCTTCAGAAAATTCAGAATTTGCTAGTCTTACCTACTATCTAAAATATTGCTTGCTCTATATTTCATAACCATCATGTCATGATTGTCATGAAAAGCTTTTCAAGAATGCAATTTTTGTGGGCTAGGAATTTTTGATGTAGTCTCATTCATTGCTACTGCTTCGCCTAACATCACGTTTTTCCCACTGATCGGTTGTATACAGGGTGTGAAACAATTGCGTACCGTATATTCATTGGGTGATATATTGGACAAAGATGAACCTCAAGTAAGATGACAGTTTTTTATAAAATAATTATTAAATATCCCACCCACCTAACTGAATATCAGAAATTCGGTATATCGCTATCCTCAGATAGTAGAACATGAATAGAAGAACGATTAGCTGACTCTATATAGTTCCTACCTATTGGAATTACTATTCTGATAGATTTTTGGATAACACTAAACATGAAATCATTAAAAAAAATTGGCTGTAAATTGTATAACCAATACACAACATCAAGAGGAACAGTTTTGTTCACTTGAACATTTACAGTAGGTATGTCAATAGGTTTATATACAGGGTGTTTCCGGAATTGGGACAGTAAATGAAATAGATTATAGAAGATGAAAAATAAAAACCAAATGGAAGAATACATTTCTGCCTTTTTGTCGATAAAACTATTTCTGAAGGTATTGACCTCCCAAGTTTCCCTGAAACATTTGTGAATCATTGATCAAAGGTCAGTAGCACGCAACATAAGCGTTTGCTTTCGGCGAGATCACAAGCACCAAAAGTTTCAATGACTTTTGCAATGTTGTCAGATAATAGTTAAAATATTTAGTATGGTGGGAGCGCACCTTTCTTGAAAAATTTTCAGAACATTTTTTTGGTGATATATCGTGTGATTACTGATGGATGATGTCTCATAGAACACGATATTGTATTCATCGCCGCAATTCCGGAAATACCCTGTAATGTAATGTAATCATAATGATTTGAAGAAACTGTTTTGTTTCTCAATTTTCTCGCGTTAATGAAAAACCACAAATATTTCGAAAAATATGAGATTCTGATATTCAGGGTATGTTGAAATAGTTGATATTTTCTGAAAGATTAGCAATGATTTTTCAAGTTCAAGATTTCATTTTGCATGAGTTTCCATGAATGGAACTAATTCGTTCATCCTGGCCCAATAAATCACTGATGAAACTTCTGGCACGTATATCACTCACACCTTGTATAGGAGGAGGCCATCTGGCGTGTATATCGTACGCTGGCGAAAGGGCTCACAACCGTCGACCCTACGTCTACCTTTACGAAGACCCTGTGAGGAGCGACATTCAACTGTTGAGCTACTACATCAACAAGTTCAAACAAGACAAGGCGATCGCTGCTCCACCATCGGCAGAATCCACCAAAGGTACAGAACTCGACAAAATCAACGGAATTATCGAGCCTAACACTTTTTTGAAGTTACGCTAACGAAAAACTGCTTCACGTGAAGGCAAATCTGAAAATCTATTCATACAATCATTTTTTCCTCGTTATAGTTACCAGGTCACTTTGGTCATCTCCTCCATAGAGTTAATTTCAAAGATATGTGAAATGTGTCAGAATATGACTGAATTTTTTTTCGATTTGTGATTCATTCCTGGGGTGAGATTAGTTAGTTAACCGAGACGCAAAGCGTACTATAGTAGTAAATATTCTTCATATTCTGAAACATTGTTAGACATTCAACTCATAAATGGCATAGTCAACAACTCCAAAGCGTTTTATCTATTCACTAATAGATTTATGGTTGAGAAGAACTAATAAGACTTCCAACTACGTTTCTCCGAACGACAAATCATGAATCTGTTTCAGGTTGGTTAAAAGGTTTCATTTTATGAAATTCATTTTATTTGATTGAAGAGTAGGTACTTTTAGGGTACCATTTCTCCGGTAAATTAATTGGATCTTATCGTTCTCCGCCAGCCAACACAGAATAAGCCAATCAAAGAGCAGTATTATTGAATCTTAGTTATATCAAGTTATATGGAATCACTTACTTCAAAGTTCGATATTCAAACTCAATCACGAACTTCGAAAAGTCTAGAAAATTGATTAGTATTATATTGTACCTTGGGGCTTCCTTAATTTATCGGATAGTAATATGATTATTGTAATAATAATACCAATACCATCCTATTATACTAAACTTTCATATTTCCATCAACATTGTGCCACTCATCAGAATCTGAATAGAATACGAAGGCGAAAAACTGAAATATAGTGCTCCGCAATTGAAATGGGAAACCTAAAATTACTTTAAGAAAAATGATCAATTGAGAGTTCTCATATTTCATAGTCTCATTGTTCATTATTCCAGATTTTTTGAGTTTTTTTCTCCTCGTTTCTATAAAATAAAAATATGAATATTATTTCAATATACGTGTAGTAAGGACAAATCAGATGATTTGCCCCAAAATGTCACTGCGTTTAAAGAATTTTCCTATCAGAGAGCCTAAAACAAATATTCACCAGCTTGTCAGTGACAATTTGTATTGAAAAATGTTTGGAGATGAGAAAAAAAGGTATTTAGAAAAATTCATCGAATTTTCACTCCTCTTTGAACGTTTCGAGAACGAATCTGCTTCCGTTTTCAACATAAAAATGGATATTTGTTCAGCAAATTCGTATTCGTATTGACACTTCTCAGTTCTGTGACAATTGGTGACGTTGGCAATCAAATGAGTTACAGGATGTTTTCATCAATTAATCTTGAGTTTACCATTCTCATTTTTATTTTCAGATTACAGTAGAGTGACTACCATGTTCTATCTTTCTTGGTTGTTATCTTCTTTTCCAATGATTTTAATAATATTCCACTCTGCCATATGTTGTCCATATTCAGTAAATTCAAGATTTATTGATAGAGAAGAATTAAGAGATAGAGAAAATCCCAAAGAATCTGGAATAATGAATGTATCACTTCCTCGATTAACCTACAGACAGTAGCCGTGGCACTCGATATCTCCAAGGCATTCGATCGAGTCTGGCACCAAGGACTCCTCGCCAAGCTTCCATCTTATGGCTTGCCTCCCGAGCTATGTTCTCTGCTTGCTAGTTTTCTCTCGAACAGGTCTCTCCATGTAGTGGTCGACGGAGTTTCATCTGACTCTCTTATCATAAATGCTGGTGTTCCGCAAGGATCAATTCTAGCAATAACACTATTTCTCCTCCATATCAACGATTTGTTGGAAGCAACTTCATGTCCAGTACACAGCTTCGCGGATGATAGTACCCTCCATACCGCCATCTTTTCCAGGGCTCCAATACCAGACAGGCAAATCAGAAACGAACGAGGGAGACATGTTGACAACATAAATATGGACTTGGCAACAATTCTCGAATGGGGATCGAATAACTTGGTAGATCTCAATGCAAACAAGACACAAGCATGCCTTTTCTCTAGAAAAGCCGATCTCACTGTGCCCAACATAAGCTTGTCTGGAGTAATCATACCTTTGAAGACAAACATTTCGATATTTCGATATCAGCAATAACCTTCCTTGGGAAAATTACGTGAGATCAATTGCTAAAAGTACATCCCAAAAACTTGGTTTTCTGTTCCGGGCCAGGACCAATTCCACTTCCAGTCAGCTGCTTATGATTTATAGGGCACAGATCCGACCTGTCCTGGAATACTGTTCCCATATTTGGAGTACAGCACCCAAACATACCCTGAAACTGTTGGATTCTGTCCAAAAAAATGCAATTCGTCTCGTTGGTGATGCCTCGCTCACAAACTCACTCACTTCTCTGGAACACCGTAGAACAGTTGGCGATCTGCCTCTATTTCATAGATATTTCCATAGACGATGCTCTTCTGAAATATCAACAATTGTTCCTCCCTTGGCAGTCCCCGCGAGATCAACCCGTCGAGTTGAGGTTTGGCACCCCTTCGTGGTCACTTTGGAGACCTGCAGAACAACTCTTTCCAAAGACTCGTTCATCCAACGAACAGTGAGGCTCTGGAACACATTGCCAAGGGAGGTGTTCCCTGAGGCATGTAACCTCCAGAAATTCAAGCAGAACACCAATTCTCACCTGATTTTCCTAGGTTCTCACGATGTTCTCTGAACATTACAGGATATCCGTTTTCGTGGGAACCAGAACATTAAAATTATACATTCTATTGTCTTTAGAGCCTTGAGTTTAAAAAACGACAGAAGAAGGATGGATCAATATTCCGTCCAAAATGTTTGTTCTTCGAACTAATTGTTTATGTCCATTGATTGTTGTATACACTGTTTCGATCGTTTATGTGATTTTTTTTTCAAGTTTTTTGTCAAAAATAGTGTGTTTTCTTCCTGAACCTTTTCACAAGAGGATTTTCAAGGTTGTGTGCACCATAGAAAATTCTAGTTCCTGTCAATGAAATTTGTTATGAGTTAATGATGACCGAATTTTGAGTAAATTGATAATTTCACCGGTGAGAGTACTCAGTTTGAACATTGAACAACAAAGGATCCAACAATCGAAGACTTTTTATTTGATCAAAATGTCATAATTTTAGAATGTGGTGCCGACTATATTTACATTTTACATTTCCCAATACGAAATGAGTACCTCTTGAGAATATGGTCGATACTTTGGAGGAGTTGTCTCAGAGATTTTGATAATCAACATAGAAAGGTTTGAAAGATTTGTCTCGAGAGCTGAAACCTAAATCACTACATAAGCAAATAACTTACATGTTTTTCTCCTCTTTTCCTAACTGTGTGTATTGATGTTGTTGGTTTTCTTTCCTTACAGCTGACAAAAGTGACGAGAAGCCAGAAATCACTGAAATTACCGAATAATCCTTTCAACTTTCTTGCTACATTCTACTTTCAAATCACCCGCTATCCTGAAATTCTGATGACCTATGTGCACAAAGAGATTATTGTATATTTTGATAAACTGTTTTACTCGAGTTAATATACCATGTGGAGTTCTAAATGTTTGATCAGATAGGTATAACTTGCACTAAGTGGTTGGTATGACATGGTTATATTATGGCACTGTGTTCAATAAACATTATTTTGGTTAAGCGTTTGTTTTATTTAGTACACGGAAAAAAAGGAATTGTTGAATCAAGCAAAATTTAATTGAATGGAGCAAATAAAAGTGTCATATATGCACGACAAAATATAACCTTATTGAAATGAGTAAATCTATATCTTGTTTCAGAGCGAATTGGAAGTTTGAATCAAGTAAATATGTCTTGCATGAACTCTGGATCTTCTTCAATCAAGCACATTCATGAATTGTTTATGAAGAGATATTGAATTGACTCAAACAAACATTTTGTTTGATCCAAAATAACAAGAAATTGATTCAATCAAATATTTAGTTGATTCAACGAAATATTTGCTTGATTCAAAGAAATATTTGGTTGATTCAATGAAATATTTGGTTGATACAATGAAATATTTGGTTAATTCAATGAAATATTTTGTTGATTCAAGAGAAACTATAGGTATATCCATTCGACAAATTGTTTTGTTGAACCAAATTCAATATTCGGGAATTTTCTGAAATTTCACATCAATAGAATAAACAAAACTAGGAAACGAGTCGACTCCTATCATATAGATCTTTAGTCTTTACTTCTCTTTAGCTGATGGAAAACTATTTCGGATTGCTAATCATCCTAAGTTCGACTTATCCAGCTGATATTCCAAACACGAAGAATCAGGCTTCACGTATATAATGAACTCGAGGCAGGCATAGACGAGGCGAAATGATCGCCATCTAGATGTGAATATTTAAGTAGCTGTAGAATGAACAAAATATTTCATTGATATTACATATTTCGTTGCTCTATTCAAGCAAATGATCCGTTCGAAACGAGTTCATTGATACATCGGAATAAGACAACTTGTATGTTGTTTCAAAGATATATTCTCATCAAAATGATCATTGTTTGATCAAATCAACGAAATGGTTATAGTTGAATCAACATTGACATTATTCTGGATCGACATTATTTGTTTTTGAAGAAACCATATATTTTGTTGATGGAATTGATATTATACTGTTGATTCAATAAGACTACATTCTTGATTTGAACAAGCTGCTTCCATGGAATAATCATATATCTGGTTGATTCAACAAAAAATTGCAACAAAAATAACTCAAGCATAAATAATTCGTTGATGCAACAAATCCTTTTTTTCCGTGTATTATGGTGGGACTGTCGTCATCCTCAAATTAACCTGGATCAAAAATGTTTGCCCCATATGATATCTGAGGTGTATGTTGAGAATACGTATTACGTACTCAAATGTTTCACTGATTTTTCGAAATTAAATACTGGGGAATGTTCGTAATTGAATATTATCTACCTACCAAAAAAATGGGCTGTTGGTCCCAAGTGAAAAATTAAACAAC